AACAATTTAACTATGATGGGCCTAGATATGGTTTTCTTTGTATGTGTTTTGTTTGGAGTTTGTAGTGCATCTTGTCTGTTACTTAAGGTCTTTTCATTGACTTTCATTGATTTAAGAAAATTCTTGAATATGTTCCCTTCAAACATTGTTTCAGCCTAATTTTTTCCCTTTCTTCAGGGGCCCATATTACACATATGTTCAACTTTTCTATCATGCTTCATATGTCTCTTAGGTTTGTTTGTTTATTTGTTTGTTTTCCTGGCATAGTGCTACTGTTTTTATTTTGGTATCATTAATGTACAAGTACTTGAACAACATTATGGTTACTAGACACTCCCTATTAACAAATCCCCCCCACATACCCCATTACAGTCACTGTCCATCAGCGTAGTAAGATGCTATAGAATCATTACTTGTCTTCTCTGTGTATACTGCCTTTCCTGTGTCCCCTGCCACTACATTATGTATGCTAATCGTAATGCCCCCTTTTCCCCTTATCCCTCCCTTCCCACCCATCCTCCCAAGTCCCTTTCCCTTTGACAACTGTTAGTCCATTTTTGGGTTCTATAGGTCTGCTGCTGTTTTGTTCCTTCAGTTTTTTCTTTGTTTTTATACTCCACAGATGAGTGAAATCATTTGGTACTTGTCTTTTTCTGCCTGGCTTATTTCACTGAGCGTAATACCCTCTGGCTCCATCCCTGTTGTTGCAAATGGTAGGATTTGTTTTCTTCTTATGGCTGAATAATATTCCATTGTGTATATGTACCACATCTTCTTTATCCATTTATCTACTGATGGACACTTAGGTTGCTTCCATTTCTTGGCTATTGCAAATAATGCTGTGATAAATATAGGGGTGCATATGTCTTTTTGAAACTAGGCTCCTGCATTCTTAGGGTAAGTTCCTAGGAGTGGAATTCCTGGGTCAAATGATATTTCTATTTTGAGTTTTTTGAGGGACCTCCATACTGCTTTCCACAATGGTTGAACTAGTTTACATTCCCACCAGCAGTGTAGGAGGGTTCCCCTTTCTCCGCATCCTCACCAGCATTTGTTGTTGTTTGTCTTTTGGATGTTGGTCATCCTAACTGGTGCAAGGTGATATCTCATTGTGGTTTTAATTTGCATTTCTCTGATGATTAGGGATGTGGAGCATCTTTTCATGTGCCTGTTGGCCATCTGAATTTCTTCTTTGGAGAACTGTCTGTTCAGATCCTGTGCCCATTTTTTAATTGGCTTATTTGCATTTTGTTTGTTGAGGTGCATGAGCTCTTTATATAATTTGGATGTCAACCCCTTATTGGATATGTCATTTATGAATATATTCTCCTATACTGTAGGATGTCTTTTTGTTCTACTGATGGTGTCCGTTGCTGTACAGAAGCTTTTTATTTTGATATAGTCCCACTTGTTCATTTTTACTTTTGTTTCCCTTGCCCAGGAAGATATATTCATGAAGAAGTTGCTCATGTTTATGTCCAAGAGTTTTTTACCTATGTTTTTTTCAAAGAGTTTTATGGTTTAATGACTTACATTCAGGTCTTTGATCCATTTTGAGTTTACTTTTGTGTATGGGGTTAGATAATAATCCAGTTTCATTCTCTTACATTAGGTTTGTTTCTCTTTTGTTGCTCTATTTTCTACCCTAGAAACTCTCCAGTCTTTCATATAGGTATATTCTACCTGCCTATATTCATTTTTTAATCCTTTTCAGCTGTGTTTTATCAGATTTTAAATCCATCTATTAAGTCGCAAACTTCAGATTGTATTTTTCAGTTATAGAATTTCCATTTGATTAAAAAGTTTATGTTCTCCATTTCAGGTTTGGTTTTCTTAAACATATTAATTTTAGGTATATTAAAGTCTATATCTGATACTATAATACCGTGATCTACTATGGTTCTATTTCTGTTGTCTTTTTCCTCTTGGCCTTCAGTCATTCATCTTTTTACCTGACCTGCTTAGTAATTTTTGATGTCATGCCGGATACTCCTTGAGGAAAGCATGTAGAAAAAGTTTGAGTCTCCAGATTTCGTGTATGCATCTACAGAAAATATTTACCTTTGTTTCTGGCAGGCTGTTAGGCTAGGGGCACATCACATCTTAACAAAAGTAGGAATTTATCATTTTGAAGTTGGTTTTTAGTCTTTTTCAGAGCCAGTCTGCTTGGGACTGATCCTTACGTCTAGGTTATAGCCATTCAGACGTCTCATCTGAAATCCTGGGTGTTTACCAGGATTCCTCTTTCATGGTGTGCCTTGAACACTAACTTCTGTCTTCTCAGCCTTTTGAGACCAAAAACTCTGTTCACTGCTGCCTCCAAATCAGCACATTCCCTGAAGGAAAAGCAGAGGTGAATGTCGAGCTCATGTTCTCTTGTTGATCATGGCTTCTCAAGCTGTTGCTATGTTGATAGGTCTTCTGTGCTTCCAAACTGATTTGTAAATATATATTTTTATAAGCTTTTGTAATTGTTTTGTGAGAGCAAGAGAGTTGTGCTGGTAATACCTGGCCTATCACAGTTAGAAGAGCTGCAAAGCTCATACTCTAAATCACTATTGTATGCTGTGTTTTAAACAAAAGAGTCAAGACAACACCCATTCCTCCAAGAATTTATAATCTAGTTTGGAGAGAAAGTCTTTTCTAATAGTAAAGTATTACAATATGTTTATACACTAAACTGAGTTAAAAGGATCTAAGAACTCTTTGAGGCTATGGGCTGTGCTTAATTAATTTTTACATTCTAGGTAAATGCTTGATAAAATTTGTTTAATTGAATAGATATGAATACAAATACTCTAGGAGTTTAGAGTAGAATGAAAGGATTGTGTGAGCTGTGACATCCAGTCAGGGCTGACTAGATCATAACGGGTTTCTTGGCAGATATATAAGGTTTGGGTATGTTGAGGGGAGAAGAAATTAAGTTAGAGGAGAAAACACTGGCCAAGCCTGAAGGTAAATCTGACAGGCACAGGAGACAATGAGGATACCAGTCTATCTGTAACAAAGGATTTTTAGGAATAAAGTTCTAGGTGAAAAGAGTGGAGCCATGCGGTGGAAAGGAGGAATACCAGATTGTAAGATGTTGATTTTCTTTTATGGAAAAAAGGGTTTTCATAGTACTTCCATGGAATGTTCATAGAGGTTAAGCCTAAAGAAGACATTGAGGTTTGGGAAACACTGGTTTAAACAGATTTGTTTACTGCAAGACGTTTTTGAACCTTGAAGTGTGTATTATAAATTTCCAAAATTGTTTAAACTCACTAAAATTTTGCTTATAAAGGACCAGTACTTCTTGGAACATATTTTGTGGAATTGGGATATGTGGGCACTGAGGGAACACTGGCTGGACTTCGCACTAGCATGGAAGGCCCGTGAAGCCAGGGATTTTTAGTATTGTTCATAGTTCTATCACTTCCACTAAGAAGAGAATCTAGTGAAAGTATTTTCTCAGTATATATCAGTGGAATAAATTGTTGGTTTTAGTGGATGAAGGAAGAATGAGATCAAGATGAAGTCAGTTTTTTAGCAAAATTAATCTGATGCTATGGTGTAAAATGGACTGTAGGGGAAAGAGGCCAGAAGCTGAAATACCAAAAACAAAAAAAAAAGCTTTTTAAGTTGTCCAGACCTAAGATTTTTTTCTTTGACTGTGGTGACATCCTTGGAAATGGAAATTAAAATGGAAAAGAGTGATATTTTGTAAAGAGAATTGACAAGATTTGGTGATAGATTGGTTGAAGGAGGAAAGAAGTTCTCAAGGTACTCAGAGTTCAGATGGCTCTAAGGATGGTGGAGTCGCTGTAGAGAAGAAGGGATTTCTGCAGAAGACCGTGTTCTGTCTCCCTCCTGTGACCTAAGGGTCTGAAGGCTGGGGTCATGAAGAAAGTATCCAGTATCATGAAATTTTATCTTGTGTTTCAGAACTACCTGTGTAGAAAGAAATCACAGTTTTCCAACCGTAAAGCTACTGGTGAGAGAATTTGAATGACGAATACAGAAAAATACCTTATTTTTAAAAAATCTCAGTGAATTTGAGTTAGAGCAAATGTATTGTGCAAGGATTATGACTTAGCCCTCACGGCAACTTTTCCTTCAGCTCAATAATTTATGATATTTACATATAAAATGTGTTAATTAAAACATTTGACATCTCTGATAATGAAGATTGGGTAATTATTTTGAGCTACTCTTTTCCAAAAGAAACCTTAGTGTTCCATTATTATCAAAATGGGTCTTGGGCTTGGGGAATGAGTAGGTTATGAGATCGGAAATGTGTGTTCTGTTTAGTCTAGACATACCAAGAGTCAAAATCTAGGCAAACCCAGACTGCCACCATCACCCTCTACTTCTGATCAAATCTAGTGAGTCTGCAGGGAGCCAACTTCCCTCGCTCGGGAGAGACAATGGGTGGGATGGAAGCAGCACAAACTTCTGACTCACAGACTTAGATTTAAATTTTGGGAGGAATAAGTTGCTTCTTATCTTTAGTCCATTTATCCATAAAGTAGGAATAGTAATTATCTCACAGGTTAGTGGTAAGGATTAAATAAGATAAAAAGTAACTAGTACTATAGGCATTGTGCATGTGTGCATATGTCAGTAAATGAATACTATGTTGTAGTAGCTTAAATATACTTCTGCTTACAAACCAAATTTACTTTCTGTATAAACTCTATGTGTCCATTAGTAGCATATCTGAGGATCTTAAGAGATGCTGCATTTGTGATGTTGACAATTAGGAGTGATAATAAAATTGGTGTAGTAATGATTATCAGAAAACTATTCAAAAACATTTTCAAAGGTTTTACATATAAAGTATGGTAGTTATAAGGGTCAAGTGTTGGTGGAGCTAGGAAAACAATTTGTCCTTGCTGTTAAATTTGTTTAAGTGTATAGGTAATAATATCAAGAATCAACATGGAGTGAATCTAAACAGCAAAATAGTAGCTTTCATATACTGTTATGTTATGTAACTAACATCTCTTCTATTATACCAGTGAGAAGAAGCTCATTACAGATGCCCTCAATAAAAATCAGTTTCTGAAGAGACTGGATCCTCAGCAGATCAAAGACATGGTGGAATGCATGTATGGGAGAAACTACCAGCAGGGGAGTTACATCATTAAGCAAGGAGAACCAGGAAACCATATCTTTGTGCTAGCAGGTGAGTTTCACAAATTATGCAATTATCATATAACAGATATTTACCCTATTGTCTTATGACGTTGTGCAAATATTTATAAAAAGGCAAAAGTGGTTGTTCTATTTGTAGAAAACATAACAGATCAGGCTCATGAAATAGTAACATTGTTGATGTGATCATGATGATAATATTTACTGATTGCTTCCTGTATGTCAGACATTCTTATTCAGCACTTAACAGAGTTATCTCATTTCATCTTCCCACCAACTCTGTTAGGCAAATACTGTTATGTCCATGTCACTAATGTGGACTATGTCACGGAGAGCTTAAGTAGAGTGGTGGAGGTAGAATGCAAATTTAGGCAATCTGACTCAAGATTCTACACTTTTAATCACAGTGCCACTCAACAACTACAAAAAGCTGTTTCTATTCAAAATACTGCTGCTTATATTCACATTTTAAAGTTGATAAAACAGGGAAAAAAAGTTATTTTCATGGTTCTGTAAAATATTATGGTCATGTACTAAAGATTTCAAAAGAAAATTTAGGTATATTTAACCAACAGGTAAGCCAAATGAAATGCCTTAAGATTAAAACTGGTGTATTTAGAACTATTTAAATGGTTTCCTCTATATATGGTCACTTGAACATGTTTATGTAAATGCTGAGTAGATTTTAATGATTAGATGGACAAAGGATTTTTTTCTCAAAACATATCAAATATATGAGTCTTATACTAGTACTCTAATAAATGCTCTGAGATATAGAAGCAAGAAATTATCAGAACAGAGCTTACGGTTATTGAATACCTTGTCAACAACTCTTTGAGTTTTAGGGTAAAAGGGTACGCTGTCTTACCAGCTGGAGTGGTGACCTCAGATGTGCTGTGGCATTCTATTTTGCATTACAGTTCCTGGAAATCTAAGCCATGCTTTTATGACTCTTGTTTCATTGGGGTCTTAGTTGTAGGCAGAATTTGCCTATCCAAACAAACTAATAAACATGTTTTATTCTATTTATAGTATATAAAAGATTGTTTTCTTATACTTTGACTCTTTAAACATGCTACTTTCATAATTATTGGTGTTTATTTGCCATAAACATCTTTGTAGGCACCCTTACAATTATATAGTCATTCCTAAGAAAAAGTCATTCATTTATTCTACCCAAGAAGTGAGTTATAGTCTCAATTTAGACAGCTTAAATTATTTCTAAAACTAAAAATTTCAAGTTTTTAGGAACAGGTGATCCAGAGCAATTTTCCCCTTTTTCAACTTTTCTCTTGGTCATTTCACTTCTATTTTATCAACACTGGCAAGCAAAGATAGGTCATTAAGTCAACAAATATTTACGGATCGTGCCAGAAAGGATTAGAAACCCATGTCAGTCCATCTTGTTCCTTGCTAATAACTCTGATAAAGGCTTGGAGAGAGAAGAGTTAGAACAGAAGTCAGCATCAATACAGCCACTGAAATCAGGGCTACAACATACATGGAAAAGAAAATTGGATAGTTTCTTATTTGAATTAATTATGATTTATCTAAAGACTGAATTTCCTGATTTGACTGATTGAGCAAATTAATTTGTTAATTAAAAATCTCCCTTTTATAAAATATAATATTGAAGATCAAAAATGGTAAAAGCATATTTAGCTTGAACTTTTGATTCCATATAATTCTTCAGTATTGTTCAAGTCTCATAAGGCATAACCAGTTAGGAAAAAGAAGCCTCAAAATGCATTAAAATTCATGATATCAACTCAACAGTACCACTAAATTGTTTCAATTGAACAGAATTTAGCTGTAATGAGAAATTATTAAATTATATATCATATCTGTAGGAGTTGGAGCCAAAACAGTTTGTTTCTTACTAGAATATAAGTTCCATCGGAATAGTATCTTTTGTTTTTTTTCCTCTGTGTCTCTGACACTTGGACCAGTTCCTGGCACAATGTAGCTACTCAGATTAGATTTGGTGAATGAATGGCCAGACAGAGCTGTTTAGTGGTAAATTAGGCATAGGAAACACTAATTCTTCAAGGGCAGGAAAATAACCTACCATTTTTCTTCTCTAGGAATATGTCTTTTTTGAATATGACTTTTATTAGGTAGGGTTTTATTTGCATTTATCGGAAGGGAAAGGAAAAGACAATTGCAGGGCATAAGAACTGTGAGGAGTCAAATGATTTCACTCATCTGTAGAGTATAAGAAGAAAGAAAAAACTGAAGGAACCAAACAGCAGCAGACTCACAGAACCCAAGAATGGACTAACAGTTACCAAAGGGAGAGGGGCTGGGGAGGATGGGTGGGAAGGGAGAGATAAGAGGGGTGGAAAGAAAGAGGGCATTAGGATTAGCATGTAAAATGTGCGTGTGGGGCATGGGGAGGGCTGTGCAAGACAGAGAAGACACGTAGTGATTCTACAGCATCTTACTACATTGATGGACAGTGACTGTAATTGGGTATGTGGGAGTGACTTGATAATGGGGGGAGTCTAGTAAACATAATGTTGCTCATGTAATTGTCAATTAATGATAACAACAAAAAAAGAATTGTGCGAGGTTGCCTGAAGTGCTGCCTCTCCCTTCCCCAACCTTTGCCTTGATGAAAACTAGTGTCAAGCACGCTTCTTCTTTGTCTTTTTTATAAGACTTTTCATTTTTTAGAGTAGTTTTAGATTTACAACACATATGAGCAGAAGATACAGAGACTGCCCATATCCCCACCCCTACACATCCATAGCCTTCCCCATCAACACTATCACTCATCAGAATTGTCCTTTTTTTTAATTCAAGGATGAACCTATATCAACATATCATCACACAAAGTTCAGAGTTTACATGAGAGTTAACCCTTGGTGTTGTACATTCTATGGGTTCACACAAGTGTATAGTGACATAGTGACTTATGTCCATAATTATAATGTCATTGAGAGTATTTTCACTGCTTTAAAAATTCTCCAGGCTCTGCCTGTTCATCTGCCCCCATCCTAGCCCTGGAAACTGCTAACTAATCTTGTTATTTTCCCCCCAGTTTTCCCTTTTCCAGAATGTCTAATAGTTGGAATCATATAGTACGTATGTAGCCTTTTCAGATTGGCTTCTTTCACTTAGCATACGCACTTTCATTTCCCCATGTCTTGTCATGGTTTGATGGCTCACTTCTTTTTAGTACTGAATGATACTCCACTGTCTGGGTGTATCGTAGTTTATTTATCCATCTATCCACTGAAAGGTATCTTGGTCATTCCCAAGTTTAGCAGTTATGAACAAGGCTTCTGTAAGCATCTGTGTTCAGGTTTTTGTGTGGATCTGTTTTTAACTCCTTTGAGTGAATACTAAGGAGAGCAATGGCTAGATTGTGCAGTAAGAGTATATTTAATTTTGTAAGTAATTGAGAAACTGTCTTCCAAAGTAGCTGTACTATTTTTCACTCTTACCAGCAGTGTATGAGAGTTCCTGTTGCTTCAAATCTTTGCCAACATTTGGTGTAGTCAGTGTTCCAGATTTTGGCCCTTCTAATAGGTGTGTAGCAGTATCTCATTATTGTTTTAATTTGCATTTCCCTGGTAACATATAAGTAGAGCATCTTTGCACATGCTTATTTTCCATCTCTGTATCTTCTTCCATGAGTGTCTGTTTAGGTCTTTGGCCCCTTTCTTAACTGAATTGTTTTCCTATTGTTATGTTTTAAGAGTTCTTTGTATATTTTGTAAAACAGTCCTTTATGAGGTATGTCTTTTGCAAAAATATTTTCTCCCTGTCTATGGCTTGTCTTCTAATTCTCTTGATATTGTCTTTATTAATCACTTATTCTAGAGACTTCTCTTTAATTCACTTCAGTGAATGACAGGCTAGACAGCAACAGAGACATGGTGAACTAATGTACCCAATGTCACACAGCCAAAGAGTAGTCAGGGCCAGGCAGTCTAACTCCAGGGCCAGTGTACTCCTCAGTCATGACAAGTCAGTCCTCCTGTCAGTGTGCACAGCCGTGCTGTGTTCTCAAGACGTACACTGATTGTTGTGTTCTTTGTTTTATGAGCTAGATTTTTCATGGGGTAGAAAGAATTTTAAATTAAACACTTGCCATCCATTGCTTCAGGGAAAGAACTTTATAACAATGATAATAATGTTAACAATAGTTGACACTTACATTGAATTTACTATGTGCTAGCCGTTGTTTTAAGTTCCCTACCTACATTCACTTACTCAATTCTCACAACTGTATGAGGTGAATATCATTATTATCATCCCCATTATCCACAAGGAACCGCAGGCAGAGCGAATAACCCTGTTGAAGTGACCCAGCTAAGAGTAAGTGGCAGAACTGCATTCAGTCTGCACTCTTAACCACTGTGTCAGAATGAAATCATAAGAAATCTTACCTGTACACTTTTTTAAATTAATTAATTAATTAATTAATTTATTTATTTTTAATTTATGGAATCCAGGAGGATTTTGATTGTGTTTTTTTAAAATTCCACTTAGAGGGCCGACTAGAGGTGTTCCAAGGGGAGAAACTGCTGTCATCCATCCCCATGTGGACCACGTTTGGGGAACTAGCCATTTTATACAACTGTACAAGAACAGCCTCCGTGAAAGGTAACAGGAGGCGAAATGCTGTATTTTTGAATTGTGACACAATGTTAAAGACAATCTGAGTCGCTATTGCATTCTGAGTCTTTTTGTCTCCCATTGTGCCTCATGTGCTCTTATTAATAGGAATGCTCTGCTTATAAAGGAATCATATTGAAGCACTTGTCTAAATAACTCAAGCTTACAAGAACCTTTCCATCAGATACCTGTGTATAAAATATTAAAATGGCTTTAAACTGAATGATTCCAATGCTTGCTTTAATTACCACTTCAATTTTTTACTGTCAACACCTGATTTGGTTTATTCAGAATGCTTGATTTCCATTCCGTATGAGGTTCTGACCATATTGTAAATCAGAAAAATTATAACAAAAGAAAGTGGATAAATATCAAAAGGGATATTAATTAATGAGTTTTCATGAATGACTTTTGGTATTAGTTTAATTGCTTTTCCTTCAGGTTCCTGTTTTTATTGACTTAATTCATGGTAGTCTCGAGTTTTCTTCTGAATTAAATAGATGTGATATTTGGTGTTTCTCAGCACTTCGGACTGGGTTCTGTGTCTCAGCACTGTTGAGGTATTTGTAGAGTTGCAGATTCCAGGGCTTTACTCCAAACCTGAACCAGGATCTCTGGCTATGAGGCCCTGGGATCTGTGTTTTTAACAAGAATGTCAAGATGATTCCAGTTTTCTTTGAAGTTTAGTAAATCAGAACTTTGGATTTTGATCTATTTTGTAGACTCTCATTACCCCTTAAAAAATAAAATCTTACAATCATAATTTCACATAGATTATGCAGAATTGCTATTTCGGCTCTTCTTTTTAGATTTTAGTCTTGTTTTCAATGTCTTTCCTATAAAAAAAACTGTCTCAAAAACTGTTTTACTTGTCTTTGAAAATGACTTGTATACATTTTATACTAAAGTAACCATAGAGATCCCTAAAATTTATTGGCTGTCATTAGCAACAATGTCTAAACAACATAAAAAGACATGAAAATACCCTCACACACAAAGAAATCTTTAACTTGCAATTATCTTCTCGTGAATTCTTCATTCTCTGAATTAGCTACAGGCTGGCTGGCTTTCTTCTGTACAGCAGCACAAATCTGAAATACATCCTGATGATGCAGAGTGCAATTAAGAATTGCAAACTAATTTTAATACCATCTTAAGCAAAACACAATTACAAAGGAAATCTTTTGCTTCCATGGTTCATTTCAAAGTCAAAAATGATTTCATAAAATTACTCACTATTTTCATTTTTATTGTTATTTCCTTCCATTTCCATGTTGAAAAATAATGCATTTTCCAAGAAATATTGTTTTATGAGAATATATGAAAAGTTTATTGATTAACATTTTGGAATGTTTTCTTAATGTTTGGGCTACACAATATTTTATTATTTTCTGGATTTTTCTAAAGCTATTACCAATGTTAAAACTTGGGCACTAGATCGAGAGGTATTCCAGAATATAATGAGAAGGACAGCTCAAGCTAGAGATGAACAGTACAGAAACTTCCTCAGAAGGTAAGAATAACACATTGACAAAAGAGCAGAAGATGAGTTGTAGCCATCTTGTGGATATGTCAGTCTTATCAGAATAATTATTCTACTATAGCTTCTCTTGTTTAAACATTTTCCACATGATTAAACCAAAGGGACAGTAGTATTCCCTTTGTATTCCAGAAAATGCCGTAATACATAAAAAAATTATATTTAATTCCAATTAGCCTTGTGCAGTGATTTATTTCTTTCAGTAATTTTGCCCTTGTATTGATGGAGCCATTGTATACAGTATAGAAAAATGTGCAAAAAAAAATCCTAAAATGTGCACCTGGTTTGCTCAGTTAACTTTGAAAAACTGTATTTTGGAAATAGATAACAGAAGATAATCTTCCTAATAATGCTTTGCTTAGAATAATATTAAAATTAACTTATCCTCCTATCCTCACTTGTTTTTCTTGGGACATTCTTTTTCTCATTTGCATAGCCACACCATCTTCCAAATTACTATTATTTATAGCAAATTAACTTACCAAAAATGTTACCAGGCTTGCTATGATGATACAAACCCTTGGAACACAGTCATTTTGTGAAGTGTTCTGTACCAACAACTTGGGTGCATAAATATACAGAGAAACAAATACATATGTAACTGGAAAAGGCAGTTACACATACAAAAATTTTTTTCTTTAAGAATATAAGTTCCTCATTTAAACTATGTCTGTGTCTTATTGTAGGTGTTTTGGCAATCTCTGCAGCTGTAATAATACATGCTATAATAAATGTTACCTATGATAATTGGTAATATAATAAAGTATCCTGCAATTTCCAAAAATAAATTCTAAGTTCTTTTTAAGTATAGTGATTTTTGTCTTGCATAAGTAGTCTGCAAAGCCAATGATTTTAGGGCTGTACAGTGCCTAGCATATGGCAAGGGCTCAATAAATATTGAATGAGTGCATTGCTAATCACTCGAACATTGTAGGTGTTAAGGTGTCTCAATCAGAATCCTGCTAATTTCCTTTCCAAGAGAAAATAGTGGCTCCTGGCAGAGTGCTGCAATAGTAATAAGCAAGTCCCTTACCAATATGCCAACCAAAGCCTTAGCCATCATGTTATGGGTGTACCTGAGTGTAGGTGATCTCAAAATACAACTAAGCAACACAAGTCAGCATTGAAAGCTAATGAATCATACTCATAACAGGGGCCAAAAAGGGATAAATAAACCAGTACCTGTGGGTCACAATTGAATATCTGAGATAAAACCTTAACCACTAGGCATAGCAATTTATTCCCTTAGAGTTTAGTGTGTTCTGGCTTAGTGAAAGATGCTTGGAGAATTTGCTACTACATACATAACTTTTTCCTTTTTTCTTTCTTTCTTTCCTGTTGTTATCTCATTTCTGCATTCATTCAACAAACACTTATGGCCAGGTCCTCAACACTAATGATTCTGTAGTGAACCAGATAAACCTGATCTCTGCCTTCATAAAGGGGAAACAGATAAAGATATTTTTCTCATATCAATTTCCTCACCAATACCCTAAGGTGATAGGTTCACAGGAGAAAATGTTCACTAATATTATAGATCCCAGTTTGAACCAGAAGTAAAACTGTCATGATGGGCATATGTTGATCCATGGCAAGTTCTGGTTACCCTTTACCTTTCCTCAATAGGGAGATTAGAGAAATGCAATTCTCTTTATTTTATAATATACAGTTAGCTTTATCTTTTTCCACTTACATCTTTTTATTATGAATTATGTAATGTATACAGAAGATATATAGTATATATAATATATGTAAGTTACATATATAAGTATATATATGTAAGTTATAAAATGTAATTACAAAATGAGCATCATCAAGCCACTGCCCAACCTTCAAAGTAGAAAGTAATGTTGTTGCCCTCATGTCATTTCCCAGCTTCCTGTCCCCCTCTCTTTGGGGTAGTCTGTATTCTGAATTTAGTAATCATTTCTTGGTATTCTTTAGTATTTTGCCTTTAACTTAATTTAGCCTATTTTTTTTAATGTCATAAAAATGGTGTTTTTGTGACTTGATTTTTTTACTTAGTAATTTTTGTTAATGATCATCCACTTGGCTAGTTTAGTCATTTCTCCTGTCAGGGAGTTCTGTCACGTGGCTATGACAGCACATTTATCTGTTCTCCCTTTGGGATGTGTTTTGCAATTACAAACTATTCTGATACAAACATTGTTATACATGTCTCCTGGCCCCATACCTTCATTCCCATGCATGTGTGCAAGGGTCAGTCTAAAGCTGTCTTTTAAAAAATCAGATCCAATTATGTATTTCTGGAGTACAATCATTTTTTCCTCAAAGGCATCAAATTGTAGATGATAAGAAAGAGTATTTATCTTACAGAAATTATATCAACAGTCCTGAGCGAAAATGGGTAAAGTAGAAGGGAAATGTCTCTAAGGAACAATTTAATCATATTGATTGGTTAATCATACTGAGTGGAATTTCTGAGTTTTTTTTTTCAAATAATCAGTTTCAGTATTCTGTTTCATTTTCTGTATATTATTATTATCTCTAAAAATGTTACTATTACATGCCTCTGGCTACCATTAATTTTAAAGGTCAGCACAGTATGACTAATAATCAAAGATCATTTCCATGCTAATTCCCACATGCCCCTGTGGATTCAGTCTTTAAATTGCAAGAATTTAGATGAAAATCCAGTCCTCTCCAGGAAGCAGAACTCCTCACCTGTGCTAATAAAAGAGATATTGCAATGTGGAGAGAAATATATTTCTGGATATGAAAACTGACAACAAAAACAAAATATTTTTTCCCCAAACAGACAAAATTTGATTTTTTTCCCTTTATGGTTTTTTACTATCTTTATTTACTTGCCTATGATAAATGTCTATGATTATATAATTTCAGTGTATTTGAAATACAATTACTTATGTGTGACATATTTGAAGACTTACTTTTGAAAAATTTGAATATTATTTTTTTAAATGCATGTAAAGATTTTTGAATCTACATAAAGATGTGTATTTGTAGTTTGATTCAGGAAGATAATTAAATAAAGATTTCTTTTTAATTTTGAAGTGTATCCTTGCTGAAGAATTTACCTGAAGATAAATTAACCAAGATCATTGACTGCTTGGAAGTGGTAAGAAATTTTAACAGAAAAAATACATTTCATTAAAAGTTAGTGTAGTCTATTTGTTATTAGTAATGTAAATGAATAAAAAGAAAAAGATGGTAGATCACTAGTCTATAGAGACCAGGAGGCTTTTCCTATTGTGAAAAACCTTAGGCCAACTCACCCTGAATTAAGAGGCTCAGATGGTTGAGGCAACTCTTCTGAAATGTGTAAAAGGAAATTGGATTTGCATGTGTTAAGCGACATTTGATTTACATATTTTAATCTTTTTAGTATATTTTATAAAACTAATCTGCTTTACTCAAGAGGCATTTGATTTTCGGCAATTAACATCACAATCCCTTACAGAGTTTTCATTATATAAAGAAATCACTGATGCATAATTAGGTAATGGGGTAAAGTGTGGATTGGAGCTTTTGGTTGCAGGTTTCTGAATCAGGCAACACTCCATACTTGAAAACTCTAGGCCATGAAAAGATGTTTTAAAAAAACCACACTTAAGAAGCACTTTACCTATTTTAACATCTAGGGGCAAATGGCATATTGGAATGTGTACAGAAGTCATAATTAAGGCATCATGCAGATGGTTGGTTGTAGTCCAAGACTAGTCAAGTCTGTCCGTGAATAATGCTTTTACGAAATGTACCTTGGATTCTAATGAGATGTGTTATATGAAAACCTCTTCAGATTTCAGAGATTAAAAATCAAAGCAAATAGCATCTCTCTAATTTATTTGGGGGCCGATTTCATTGAAGCCAGGATGGTTTTTATGGAATTTAAAGGAGGTAAGGCATAGTAAAGGAGTCACATGTAGACTTGAAGCTTTTATAAAGCTGTTCTCAGTGGGAGACATACAATGCCTGCAAGACCGATTGCTGACAGATTCATGCCTCTGTCAATCACAATATACAGTGTAAACTAATATCTGTTGAGAAAGGAGCCCTGACCATTTTATCCTTAAGTGTAAGTGACACCAGTAATGTTTCCATTTACAATTCATGGAACCCATCCAGCCGTTTATCAAGGACAGGCTACGACGACACAGTGCCTGGCCTTGTGTCCTCAGAGCACTCAGATATGAAGTAATTTTCAAGAGGACTGACTGCCCTGCATCTCAGGATTTTCCCAATGTAACATAACCCAATCACAGATGTTACAAATTAATAATTCATCCTAATTTCTGAGAGTGTGTATTTTTTTTTAAAGCTGGAGAAGCTCTATATACATACATAACTATATATATATATATATAGTTAACCAAGGAAATGTGTTTTTAATATAATACTAATAGAGTAGATTTACCAGAGGGGAATTCCATGCTGACAGCAAATATTAAAATTTAGTATCATTAAAAATAAATGGTAAATTGGACATATTTATAGCAGTCATAGGCAATAACTACGGACTGTATAGATGGGGGCCCAAACCCAGTGTTAATTAACACACAATTCAAATTGGAAAGTCTCATCTTTTAAAACATGCTAGAAAAGCTTTTTTATTTCTCAGCATTTACAGACAGCAGCACAGTTTATAAAGGGCTCTTTATTCATACCTGGTAAACAAATGTGTCTCTATAATGTGTGAAAATTCTCAGATGCAGAAGTGATTAATAAGGGAGTAATGGGATCTATTTAGTGCTAAGAAAAGCACATAATTTACCAGTATAGTTTGGACTAATGACCCACCGCCAAGGTCCTGACAGCAGCCAATTACTGCTGCATCAGAGTTAGGCCAGAGGGCCTGCTGAGGTCCAGGGCCAGCTGTCCCTCCCACAGACCGGTTCCCTAATCTTTGAGAAAAACAGGTTGAATCTGGCATGTTGTTTAGTAGTTGATTTGGGAGGTTTTTATTTTTGTGTGGTGGGGTGGGGAGGGGGATTGGAATTACCCATCACTAAATGGTTTGATGTGTTAAGACTGACTGGTGAACTTCTAGACCAAATGGCCCCGATTGTGCAGTGTTCCAGGAGCATTTGTTGCTGTAGCCTAAGTCACCCAGAACATTCAATTCTAGAGGCAGACTTTGCCTTTGAGGCCTCTTGTATTCTGATGGGAAAAGGGGAGTGGTACCAACAGACTCACTGGTGTGCTTTAAGAGTTAACTAATGTACATCATACAGCATGATACAGATTGCAAATGTAATGTAACTATTAGTGATAATGAAAATAATAATGTGACTTGTGTGCCTGGCAGTTGTGCATTATGGAAGAGAAGAATAAGAGGAGTTTCTGGTCCCTTGTGCAGTGATCAATCCAGGAAGCATGGGATTAAACTGTGTGATTAATGGAAAAGTCACCTAACGCTTTGGCGTTTGACCCAGTGACCCTCTGCACTGCAGCCTAGACATGCCACCTTTCGTGAAACTGGAGGTGGGGGTGGGTGGTGTGAAATGTCCTGCCCTTACTCACATCACCTGTAGTGCTGCTTAAAAGGTAGAGTCCCAGGTACTGCCACTTATTACTGAATCAGAAAGGGGTAGGGGACCAGAAATCCACATTTTAACATTTTAACTATGTGATTCTTATGCTTATTAAAGTTTGAGAAGCACTAGTTTAAAGTTATGTATATACCCAGCCAACTTGAGTACAAAGTTACATGATGCAAGGAAGTTGTGCACGTGCATATGTGTGTGTGTGTGTGTGTGTGTGTGTGTGTGTGTGTGTGTGTGTGTGTGTGATACATCTGATTGTGTATCATCAATACTTCTTTGTAATGAAGATTGCTAGCCACACATTAAAGACTCTAAGGATGTCATCGGCTTCTTTCTTTGTCTTGTCCTCTATCATCTTGTTTTTTTCTTCTGGTTTTATGTGTTCTGTTTACAGACACTCAGCCTCTGTCTAGCATTTTGCTGGATATCACAAATCAGAAAGGGGTAGGGGACCAGAAATCCACATTTTAACATTTTAACTATGTGATTCTTATGCTTATTAAAGTTTGAGAAGCACTAGTTTAAAGTTATGTATATACCCAGCCAACTTGAGTACAAAGTTACATGATGCAAGGAAGTTGTGCACGTGCATATGTGTGTGTGTGTGTGTGTGTGTGTGTGTGTGTGTGTGTGTGTGTGATACATCTGATTGTGTATCATCAATACTTCTTTGTAATGAAGATTGCTAGCCACACATTAAAGACTCTAAGGATGTCATCGGCTTCTTTCTTTGTCTTGTCCTCTATCATCTTGTTTTTTTCTTCTGGTTTTATGTGTTCTGTTTACAGACACTCAGCCTCTGTCTAGCATTTTGCTGGATATCACAGAATAAGCATTTTCTTTACAGTGAAGAACTTTCCATCTTTAGCTGCTGCTGTTTGTATAGTTTTCTTCTGACCTCTTCCCCTCAGTCTTCCCTGAAACTGATTTCCTTATTTTTCACTAAGTAATTACTCAGGGTTTCTAGACATCTTCTTTTAGCTAATTTTTTCCAGACTGTGGGTCACAGCTTAGATCATGAGACTGTTTTAAAAATCAGAGTAGGAAGTATAAGCATTCCTTAAATGTGTTTCAGTTTTTTATAAATGTCTTTCTGTGTGCATGCTTGCGTGTCTGTATTTGGGTGCGCATGTAAAATGTATTTCTTACTGTAAGTCAGAGTAAAAAAATGCTTAAAAACCATTGCTCCACAAGTAGGGTCTAGGGCTTCTTTGTCCTCTAAGGGACCCCTTTGCAATGTAACCACAGGACAATAACCACATTGTTTGCATTTCTCTTTTTGGGCTTGGGGACCATGCGGGCTAGACGGGCCACACTCGCCAGTTGACAAACATCGGCCAGTCTAGCGTCATGGCCAGTGCTCACCACTATATATTTTTGGTCTGACCTACATCCACAGCCTTTTCTGATCTATGAAGTTACTGTCAACATCCTGGGAGGTATTATTTATCTTCCTCCCATGGTTTTGGGTGACAAAGAATCATTCCTGGGAAAAGTACCACTAGGAAGCTTGCCCCTTAAGAAACAACAAAGCTCTTTCTCAGTGTTCCTTTCTAGCTTCCTTTCAACATATCTGACTGACAGAAATTAGAGCCGCACAACTGCATACACCAAAGGCTGTACAATAACTGAAGAACAGCCTGCCAACTCTTCAGACATTCCCCATGTTCCTTCTGCTCCTTGTAGGTAATGGGACTGAGATGGGGACAAGTGAGACTAAAGAGCAGACTGCCACAGGAACACCTAACATGACATCACTGTTGTAGAAAGGAGAACTGAGTGGTGGATACACAATGAAGACACCCAGACTGTGGTGGTGTGCTCAGTTACTGCCAAGGGCCAAAGTCGTCTCAACCGTAAAATTGAGCTTGTATGTAGTGAAGTTTTGTGATAAAGCTAAACTGACATGGAATAAAGAGTCAGAGCAAGCAAACTGGTACAAAACCCTCAAAATAGGAGGCGGAGCCAACATGGCGGTGTGAGTAGGACAGTGGGAATCTCCTCCCAAAAACATATATATTTTTGAAAATACAACAAATACAACTAATCCTAAAAGAGAGACCAGAAGACACAGGACAACAGCCAGACTACATCCACACGTGTGAGAGCCCAGCGCCTGGTGAAAAGGGTAAGATACAAGCCCCTGCCCAGCGGGACCCGAGCACACCTCCC